TAAACGGAGGTGCACTGGAAAATTTGGTAATTATTTTTATTTATGCAACAAAGTCTGTGCTGAGCGTTTTGCACCATAAAGGAAATGGTTACCCCATCAGAAGTTTTGGCAGCGCTCTGCTTCTACCTCAAAGCCCACAGAAGGAGAAGTCCTCCTAACAAAAGGACAGCAAAATGCCAAAGAGAAAGCAAAACGCAGCCCAGGGCCAACCGGGCCGTGTGTCTCAAAGATGGGGTTGTGAGGCAGAACGCCGACCCGGGTTGGAAAGTAAAAAATGAATCAAAAGAACTCCTTGAGAGATGGCGATTGCTGCTGGGGCGAATCGCTGTAACTTCCACGCGTGGCCGTGCTGCTGATGTGTCCCGCAGGCAGTTCGCCCCGCTGCTCACGGCGAGGAAGGCTGCGGGCAGAGCCGGCTGCGGGACGGGGCCGCGGGGTGCGCGAGCGGCTGCAGTGCTGCTACGAAACAGGAGAGCGCCAAACAAAAGCCGGACTTTTTATCCGCCTCCCTGAGCTGCAGAGATGGGAAGGGGAGCAGAGAGCAGCTCGCCGCTGCCCGGCAGCTCGGCAACACGCTGCTGCCCATGTGGGGCCGGGGACGCGGGGCCATCCTTCTGCACCGCACGGCCCCAGTGCCGCCTCCACCCCCTTTCCCTTCTTTCTTTTCCTTCCTTAATTCAAGATTTAATGCCTCCTTAGGAGAGATAAGTTCGTTTTTGCACACCTTGGGAGGCGGGTGTTCGTTTTCTGCCCAAGAAATGGATCTTCTTTAGCGTTTTGTACATCTTGATTTATTCCTGGCTTCCAGTTTGAAGTGGGTGCTCTTCTAAAAGGATTTATGCATAGGTTCACTATTTTTGTAGTTATGGTTTATATGATAAGCTTTTTATATTTAAAATCAATATGTAATCCTGTGGAGGAGCTTATCCTCTAAAACCCCATTTGTAAATCTATTTTAGCTTTGTTACACCGCACAGCCCGGTATCCCATAGATTGATTAGGCGCAGCACAGAATCCTATCAAACGGGCTGCTCTGATGATGATGCAAACTCTTTCAGGATTGCTAGTTGACTGGAACCGCAGATAAGGGCTGCCTGCCATCCCCCAACGCGCTCCTTACAAAACTCCCGTTAATTTCCATCAAAGTGCCCGGCTTCGTTATTGCGGCGCCGGGGCTGCGGGTTTTCCCGCAAGAACTTTAGCCCGCTTCCACTAAAGCATTTCTATGGGAACCGGCTGCCCGTTTGCCCCAAGTAATTATATCACTGCGAGCAGCGGGGGGAAAAAAGGCAACGCGAAGTCAGCGAAGAACTGAAAGCGTTTCTCCTCCACTGCGAGTTTCTCAAACTCCGTCACTGCAGCCCGCGCGGTGCCCACGGCTCTCAGCACTGAGCGTGGAGCTGGCCCTGTAGCTTCGTCCCACGGCTGCGTGGGGCTCACCCCTTCCAGCACCGAGGGCCCTCGGGCACAGCAGGTGGGGGCCACCTGGCATCCCGACACCGCAGGGGGGGACCCCAAGGGGCTGCTGGTGGGACGCTGTTGGGCGAAGCCAGCTTGAAGAGAGCTCCATTAGGGGATGTGATCCTACAGCTCGGCGCCGGCCCCTCTCTTTGCCACTCGCCACCCGAGAGGGGGACAAATGGGTCTCCTTTTGCGGGAAATGAAGTAAAAGCGGCGCACCGCACGTCTGATCTGCCGGGGATGGGCAGACGCAGGGAGCACGGGACAAATCGTTGCGTTCCGTTGACGCGGTGTCGCTGAGCCCACGGGGCAACGAGAAGGGCAGCTCGTAGAGGGGACCTAGCAGGAGAAAAGAGTAGGGCCGAGCGAGGCCGACGCTGAAATATTCGCTCGATGTTCGCCGTTTGCAAAGCCGTAACTGCGGCTGAAAATGGGGAGCTGAAACGAAAAAAAAAAAAAAAAACCCCAAAAAAAAACAAAAAGGAAAGGAAAAAAGAAAATACGTTGCGAACAGCTCGTGCGGAGCCGCGCCGGTACCACGCGGGGTGCGCTGCCCCCGGGGGTCGCTCCGCGCTGCGCCCCGTTTTCAGCGCTCGCCGCGCCCGTCCCGAGGCGGCCTCGTGTCCCGCGCAGGGAAAAGCGGGGAGCGCCCGTGCGGCTTTTTCCCCTTTTTTTTCGCCTGTTTTCACCCCCCTTTTTCTTTTTTTTTTTTCGGAGCGGTGTCCCCCCTCTTCCCCCTCACCCCCCCGCCGCCTCCCTCCCCATTGTTTACCTTCCTAATGAGGGAGGCGGGGATGGCCGCGCGGTGAGTGACAGCGGCAGCCCCGGGGCACGGCCGGGACGGGAACGGCGTACGGCTGCGGAGCCCCTTCGGGGGGAGACGCTCCGGGTGCGGAGTCCCGCGGGGAACAGAAATCACGGGGCTAATCGCTAAAAGTCGTTACAAGAATGAAAAGGCGAGGCGGGCGGCGGCGGGCTGTGCCGGGCGGGGCGGTGGAGAGGCTGCGGGCTGTGCCCAGTAGGGCAGAGCCGGGCCGGGCTGTGCCGCGTCGGGTCGGGCTGCGTCCCGCCGGGCCGTGCCGTGCCGTGACCGTCTCGTCCCGCCCCGCAGACTGGCAGAAGACGGAGGCGCAGAAGCGGAGGGAGCAGCTGCTGCTGGACGAGCTGGTGCTGCTGGTGAACAAGCGGGACGCGCTGGTGCGGGACCTGGACGCGCAGGAGAAGCAGTGAGTGAGAGGCGGGGGGGGCCGGGCTCTGTGCCCCCGCTCACCCCCGGGTGTCTCCGCAGGGCCGAGGAGGAGGACGAGCACCTGGAGCGGACCCTGGAGCAAAACAAAGGCAAGATGGCCAAGCGGGAAGAGAAATGCGTCCTGCAGTGAGCGGCGGCCCCGTCCTGCGCTGCCGAAACGCTGACGAGAGGCTGCAAAGAAAGAAAAATAAAGAGAAAAAAAAAAAAAAGAAAAAAGAAAAAAAAATGTTTGCGAAAAAAAATCAAATCAAATCAACCCCCCCCCCCCCCCCCACACACACACACACACACACACTCTCCCCCCAGCCTTCCCATTCCCTCGGGCCGGAGCCGGCGGGTCCCGTCCGGAGCTCCGCGCAACCCCAAGTTCGTGCTGTAGGGTTACAGGGGCCCGAGGATACAACACCGACCCCACGGGGAAGGCCTCCAGGCCCCGGGCCGGCCCCCCCCCCCCCCTCAGCCCCCCCGCTGTCCCCGGGCCGTATTTATTGCGCCGGGCCCCGCGGAGCCCCCGTTTATTTATTACAGTGCCGAGAGACGGAGAGAGCGTTTTCAATAAAAGCCGAATCTTTCTTACCGGACCGAGCGCCTCCTGTGTGCTGCCAGGGAGGGAGAGGGGGGGCAAAGTTTGGTCGGTCGGGTCCGACCCGACCGCGGGGCGGGGAAACTTCAGCGGGGCCCGAAGCGGCGGGGGGGGATCGGGGGGAGCCTGGCAGGGAGCGCCAAGCGGCCTTCCTCTTCCTCGTCGTCGTCGCCGTCGGGCTTCGGGGAACCGCCGCCGAAGAACCGGGGAAGAAGGAGGAAAAGAGAGAAATAAAGAAAAAAAAGAAGGGGGGGGCGGGAGGCAGGGGGGAGTGAAAGCCCCGCGGTGCGGTGCGGTGCGGTGCGGTGCGGTGCGCGGTGCGGTGCGCGGCGCGGTGCGGTGCGCGGTGCACTCGCGTTCAGCTGTAGCGCGGACGGGCGGCGCGTTGGGGTGCGCACACCGCCGCTGAGCGCTCCCGGCCCCGCGCCGCGCCTGTCCCCTCGGGTTTCTCTTCTTTTTCTTAAGAAACCCACAAAGTTTGGAGCCCTCCGGGGCGCAACTCCCCCCCCACCCCACCCGCCCCGCTTCCTCTCCTAGGGAACCGCCGCGTCCCGTCGCCCGCGGGGCAGCGCGGTGCGGGAGCGGCGCAGAGCAGGGGAAAGGGAGAGGGTAAGGGGCTGGGAGCGGTGCGCGGGGCAGCGCGGAGCGGTGCGGAGCGGCGCGGGGCGGGCGGGGGGGGGCCCGGGGCCGCGCTGCCATTGCCCGGGCGGCTGTCAGTCAGGCGGGGAGCGGCCGCGGATTGGCGCCAGGCTGGTTACGCACGGGCTTTGCGCGCACATACAAGGGTAGGGCGGCGCGGAGGCGATCAAACCTCATCAGGGCCGCGGCTCCATCGCCCCGACAGCGCGGGCCGGCGGCAAGGTAACGCGGGGCGCCCGGCCGGGCTGCGCGCCCCCACCGCCCCCTCCCGGGGGGGCCCCGCTCCGCTCCGCCCCGCGCTCCGCGGCCGCGCAGGGGGGGCCCGGCCCGACCCGGCCGGGGGGGTCCCGGCCACGCCGCCCCCCGTTCCTCCCCTCCCCCCCCCCCCGCGGCCCGGAACTCCGCGCCCGGTGCCGGTGCCGCTCCGCGCTCCCCTTCTTCCCTCCTTCTTTGCAACTCTCGTCCATTTCTAATTAAAACGTCCCCGTCCGCTCGCTTTTAAATTAATTAGACTTCCCTCCTCCGGTCCCTCCTTTTGATTCCTAATCCAATTATCTTTTTAAATAATTGCTTTATCTCTCCCCATCGCCGGGCGACGGTGCCTCTCGGCGCTCGCCCGCAACTCGCCTTCGTTTCGAAAAAGAATAATTATTTAAAAAAAAGAAAAGAAAAAAAAAAAAAAAAGAAAGAAAGAAAGAAAGAAAGAAAGAAAAACTCCCAAACCGCGAAGTTGCGGCTCGCTGACCCCGCTCTCTCCCCGCAGGACCGGGCCGACCCCGCTCCGCTCCGCCACCGCCGCCCGAGGACCGCGCATCGGCGCCGCGGGACGGACCGAACACTGCGCGGCGGCGGCGCGGCTCTGCCTCTCGTCTGGGGGCTCTTTTTGTTGCGTTCGTTTTTTTGGGCTTTTTTTTTTTTTTTTTTCTCTTTTTTCCAATTTTTTTTTTTTTTTTTTTTTTCTTTTGCGACAATTTTTATTTTTATTTTTATTTTATTTTTTAAATTTTTTTTTTTTTTTTTTTTTTACTTTCCTGCGGGACGTCGGAGGAAACCCGCCCGGCTGTTAGCATGATGTCTTACCTCAAGCAGCCCCCGTACGGCATGAACGGGCTGGGGCTGCCGGGCCCGGCCATGGACCTGCTACACCCCTCCGTCGGGTACCCGGGTGAGTCCCAA